AGATGAATCAAGGACGTGGAATTGCTGCTTTGGGCTGTATTTGAAATCAGGAACATAGAAACATTTAAGCAATGATTGGCTACTTAAACTGATGCCAGCCCTGTCCCACTGGGATGAGCTGCTGCTTTAGCTGCCTGCTCTTCAGCTGGGCTGTGTGGAGGGAGCAGGGCAGGACTGAGCCTGCAGCAGCTTTCTGCAGCCTGCTTGAAAAACCTTGTTCTGGCCATGGCAGGATTTTGGCTCAGCTAACCCAGGACACACCCAGGGAGGCAATTCCCATCTTCACAAGGATTCATGGCAATGTCCCGTCTGCTTCTCCAGTGCAGTTTCTCTCCTTCTGAGGGCACATCTCTGTCCAGTCAGCCTATACAGCAAGACAATCCCATCCAAAAAGACTCTTGATTAAGTGTTGTGCCTTGATGCCAGTTCCTGCTTTCTGCAGTTTGGTTTCTAATGTCCAGGAGGAACCATTCCCTAGCAGCAGCCTCCAAGCTGTAAACTTTTGACCTGAGCTAATTACTGAATTCACTTTATAGAAGTAATGAGGTTCTGAGCCTCTGCAATGCCTTGGAGGCTCTAGAGAGTCCGAGCCAAAACCTGAGCTCCCTAATCAGTTCTGACTGTTTTTTTTATTCATTTACTGAGTGCCCTGAGGCACTGCCGCTCCTTGAGCTCCCTGGGAGGAGCTGCAGTGCTGCTCTCCCCAGTCTGCAACTGGGCAAAACGTGGCAGTCAGGGCTGCAGGTACACTCAGAACCTCAGTGATGAGAGGAGGAGACACCAGTGGGGACCAGTGGTCAGAGCAGCAGGGCCAGGAGAGTTGTGCTCAAGTCTTTCCTCAAATCTATTGTTGGGCAACTGGGATCTCCTCCTTCTGCCTCAAACCCTCCAATAAAGAAACTGATCGACCTTTGCTATGTGTGGGAGAGCACTTGGATAGCTGTGGGCAGTGTAATGATGAGAGGAGGGGAGGTGTGGCTGTACAGGACCATTCCTGGACACTGGCAGCAGGAGCACAGCAGGAACAGGCAGTGGGAACACCGCAGAGATGTTCCTTTGCTCTGGGCAGCTTGTGAAATCCCATCTCCCTCACTTTGCTGAGTTCTTCATACCCCATACAGGCAGGCCTTAACCAGCAGTCCAAAACTAAGCCCAGAGAAGTGTGGATGCCCCATCCCTGGATCTGTTCAAGACCAGGTTGGATGGGGCTTGGAGCAATCTGGATTTTTTTCTACTGGAAGGTGTCCCTGCCCATGGCAGGGGATCGGAAGTAGATGAGCTTAAACATCACTTGCAACTCAAATAATTCTGTGATTCTGTGACTCCAGCCTTTCCCTGGAGCTGTCAGCAGCTGAAGAGCTGGAGACCTGCAACAAACCCCTCAGCCCCAAGCTCACCACTGGTCTCCAGTTGCTCGCAGAGCTGATGGTCCCAGCTTCCCCTCTCAAAGGCTTCTCCTTGCTCTTGTGCCTGCTCTGTTTGTCCCTCTCTTACGTGCTGAGGCACCCCCAGGGCTGACACTGGGGAGAAGGTGACTGTGTCACCCAGGTCAGGACACTGCTGAGCAGCTCCACTTCAGCCATCCTCACACCCTGGGGCTGTGTGGTGAGAAGAGCATCCCCAATTCCCAAAATGGAAATGGAGAAGGGAAGGTGTGCTGTCCCTGGCCATGGTTATTACCAGTCTGAGGCATGAATGGTTCTGCAGACAGATGTGACCTCCTGATGCCAAACCAGCTGTGCTGCCATGGTGGGCTCCTGCTGAGCCTCACTATGGGCAGTGGGGGACCCCAGGGTGAGCTCTGCTCCACAGGGGGACCCCAAGGTGAGCTCCACTCCACGCTGGGCAGTGGAGAACCCCACTCTGAATCACCCCCAGCCACATCCTGCCTGCTCACAGCCGAGCCCAGGCAGACAGAGCTTGCTTTGCCTGCCGAGCCTCTCTGTGTGCCCAGCCCTGCAGAGTAGGCAGGAGCAGGGTCAGCTGGGACACAGGGGAAGCAGAACTGCCAGAACGCAGGAATGGCCCTGCTGCTGCTGCTGTGGGTCCTGGAGAGGCAGTGCTGGCAGGAGCAGGGACAGGGATTTACATTGCAAATCCACACAAGGCTGAGCTTGAGGACGCGGGGACAGAGCAGTCATCATTGTGCTCTTGGCAAACCCAGCTCTCCTTGCTGAGGGTGATGTGCTTGGTAATTCCATAAGACTGGCACATCTCCTTCTGCTGTTCCTGTCTCCCTTCAGACAGGGGGGTTGGTGAGTCGAGGTGGGGACTTTGTGAGCATCCTCATGTTCAGCCTGACAACTCAGATAATGGCATTTATCACACAGGTTTGAGGCATCACCTCACAGACACAGGCCAGAGCAATTAACCTGCAATGCAAATTATTTTTTTATTTTGAGTATAAAAATTCCTCAAAATTACATATGATAGTTCTAATTTTAGCTCATAGACATGCAAAGGCTGTGGCATCTGAAACATTTAAAACAGCTGTAGCAGAAAAGTAAAGTGACTGGGGGAAGCAAGAGTGGTTCTTCCAGTGGACACTGGGAAAAGGATTTTGGCAGGTGGAAATGCACCAAAGGTTTTTTGCCATCAGTGGGCTGATTTTGCACCACTTGCTGCGAACAAAGAACCTACTTGGTTTGGAGGTTGCGGGGAAGTGATGCAGAAAAATCTGTGACTGGCCAGGTAGGGATAAGCTGTGAGTGCCTGTTACCAACACACATTTATAATATTCTACAGTAATATGATTATAAAATATAATTTTATAATATTATATATTTTTTATAATTCATCAAATCGTCCAGCAGGAGTCAAAACTATCTAGGAAAATTCAGATCAACAAATAATGAGCTATAGCCAATTCAGTGCTGGATGTGGCCAACAGAGAGTGTTCTTGAATTTCAGCTACCTTCTCAAAAATAAGAAGAAAAAATTATAAGAACCAACTTAAAAAAGAAAAATCAATCTGTTTGGTCACTTTGCTGTCAGTGGAGCTGCCCTGGCTGTGGGCAGCATGACCAGGGAGGCGAGCACTCCTGAGCAGGCTCAGGACACATTGGTTTATCAGGGACTAAAGTGATTATGGGATAATCCAAAACTCTTGGAGAGAGCAATAAATCTCGGAGCTCTTGTGCCACCTCTCATGTCCCCAGCTGTGATTATGGGATAATCCAAAACTCTTGGAGAGAGCAATAAATCTCGGAGCTCTTGTGCCACCTCTCATGTCCCCAGCTGCTGCACCATCATGCTTGGGGCAGTGGGACAGTGTTGGCAAACTTGAAGAAGAAATAAAGGAAATCCATTTCATTAAAACAGGAAGAATGGTAGATGTAATTTTACAGATTTCATTTGGTGTTAAACCCACCTGCCTTTTAGTGGGCTCAGGATAGCAGGAGCAGTGATCACTGGAGATAAGATCTGCATCACAGGCAGACTGTCAGCCCCCACTGTGGCTCCATCCCTGTCCCTGCAGACATCTCGGCAGGTGGGGAAATGCCACCAGACCAAGGAGTGACCTCATGTCCCAGGGGACATGTGGAACCCCAGCTGTGGCAGCAGTGCCTGGTGCAGCCCTGATGCCAAGGAGGATGAGCCAAACTGCTGCCAACCTCAGCCTCTGATGGGAGCCTCAACCTTAGGGAATATAAAAGCTCATGGGACACAATCTGCCTCTTCATCCCTTGGCAGGGGTTTTCCAGCCCCAAGGAAATACAATTCATGTTACCCACAGGTAGCAAAACCATCTTGTGAGAAGATGGCAAAATAAAATTCCTGAGGAAAAGGTTTGTAAGAGCATCAGAAGAGTCAGTGCTAGAGCTGGATCTTCTCTTCAGTGGGGTGTGTTGGGTCCTGTGTCCAAGCTTGGTAAAGAGATCCACTCCAAAGGGATCCCTGTCTCCAACTGTGCTGTGCATTCCTGAGTGTCACTACAGTCAAGAGCTCCCTGGGCTATCAGAAACTCCTGGACCCCCTCTCACAGAGAACCTGACTTACCTGGGCATTGGGAAATGGCCTAGAAAGCACCACCCTGCTGTGGTTACACTGAGCAACACTAGGCTGGCTACTATGGACTCACAGTAGTTACCCAGAGAAGCTGTGGCTGCCCCTGGATCCCTGGAAGTGTCCAAAGCTGGGTTGGACAGGCCTTGGAGCAGCCTGGGACAGTGGATGGGTGTCCTTGCCCATGGCAGGAGGTAGCACTGGAGGGGTTTTAAGGTTCCCTCCCAACCAAACCATCCTGGGATTCCATGATTCTGTGACTGGCACAGGAGCTGCCAGGCAGGACTGAATGGTGAATTCCATCTTTTATGCCTCCATCCTATCCCCACACTTTGTCCTGGTCTCCATTAACTCAAGAGCCTTGGGAAAGTTTTGTTCAGATTACAGGGGAAGGTTTTAGGAAAATTCCTCTATGACATTCTAGAGAAAACTCTCCCCTCACCGCTGCAGACAATCCCATTTTCCCTCTTGAGGGCTCGGGCTGGATTGACAGGAGCCGACATCCATCCTGTGGGTGCATGCAGCTCCCGGGGCCTCTTTGTGTCAGGCTGCTTTAACAACAAACAGAGCACAGCCCCTGCAGCATCCCATCCACAATCCCTGCAGCCATTCGGGGAGACACGGTGAGAAGGACCCTGCACAGCCAGCTCCTCATGCCTGGATTACCCCATGGACGAAATGCAGATGAAAACCATTTTCACTTTTTCTTTTTTTCTTTTTTCTTTTTTTCATTTTAAGATCCCCTATATTGACAAAATGTGAGTATGAGGCAGATTGACATCCAGATTTGACTTGGGAAACAGTTCAGCATTAACCTATTAAGCTAATGAACTCCAGTTATCCGGATTGGTTTGCCAAGATTATACCCAGGAAATGGCTGTTTATTCAGTGGGAAAGAGAACATAAAAGATCTGCCCCTAAAATTTCCCAAATCAGCTGATGATGTTGTCTAATTTCAATTGAATTCTTAACCTGACACATTTCAGAGAGACTGCCTGTCAGGGAACTGACCCCTGGAAAAATCAGGATAATAGCACATGGTATTGCTCAGAGATTTTAAGATTTTCCTTTATAAATGCTACATTATGCATCTAGTGCAGGGTTAATAGTGCCCAGACAGATTCTGCTGTAATACATTTATGTATCAAACAGGGTTGCCAGTAAATAAATTCAAAAGATTTTCAAAGGCAGAGCTTTTTAGGCCAAAACTCAAAGATTTCTGTGGAATTTGGAATTGAGAGGGGATGCCATTTCAGCTGAAGGCAGCTGAGGCTCCTAACAGGATCCTGATGCTGGGCAAAAGGAAGGAGTAGTAGCAGGATTATTGGAATTTCATTTGTGCACTGTCTGGGGAAGGCAATGTAATTTCTTGCCCCTTCTGCCTCCTTGGCTCTGTTGGAGGAGGCTTTTTGCTCCTGTTTCCTGAATTTCATTGATAAGGTCAAACAGGCAGGATCAGCAGGGAAAAGGCACGAGGAACTCAGTCCTACATGGAGAACTGAGTCGTGTTTAATGTTATTATGATAATATAACATTTATAGTGCAGTGGAGGTGTGGGGCTACTAACAGAGGCATGTGCTGCCTGCACCAAAAACCCACCAAGATCAGTATTTCACCTCCAGCAATCCCATGTGGCTGCCACCAGGGAAGGATGAAAGCATGAGGAAAACACACTTGCCCAGAATATTCTCCAAACCTCCAGCCATTTGTGTCTCAAAGATCCTTCACGTTAGGGGATGCTGCAGTATTCCTCACCACTGAGTATATTTTGTTTTTATTCCTATTCCTGCCCTATTTCCCTGGCATCATTACAGAAGGGAGGGAGGGAGTGAAATCACAGAGATGTTCCTTGACTCCTTCTTCCATTGGCCTAGCCTTCCCCATCCTTTCTATATCCCCTTCCCTGGGATATTTATGCAGAATGGAATGATAGTCTGTGCTTTTGTGACTCTCATGGCTACAGATCAGTCCCAAAACTGTGACAGTTGTGATGAAATGTTCTTAATTTGGGAAGATGAGCAGGAAGGTGCGATGTGTCTTTAAAAAGCTCCTTGCCCAGGGAGACCTGGGTCCAGCACGTCACCCAAGAGCACGAGAAATTTGATAGATGGGTCTCCAACATTCTTGTCATGTCTCCCCTTCTCGTTTTGCCCCCTTCCCCAAGCTGGAAGTGCTGAGAGGCGTGCTGTGCGGTCTGCCTTGTGTCTGGGAGCCTGTCACAGCTGGGACATGCAGCCCATGGCCTGCAGCTGGACTCTCAGGAGTCTCCATCAAACACTCATCCAAAAGTCTCTCCCGGGAATAATGCCCTGGGGTTCGGCACTCCTTTGTTTTGAAAGCCACAGTTATTTGTATCAGCAAAGCATGCAAAGAGTGCCCCAAAACAAGAGGGAGGGGGAAGAGAAAGAGGAAGGGGGGCAGAGTTTCTGTGCCTGGTGGGATCACGCTCAGAGAAACGGGGAGATATGCATCATTGGGGTCTGATATTAAACAGAGCATCGGTGTTTTTGGAATGAACCCCAAGTCCCACGGCTGTGAGGGGGACACAGGCTGGTTCAGGCAAAGGACACCCTGTGAGAATCCAGCTCTCCTTTGGGTACTGCCAGGCTTCTCAAGGCAGAGGAGAGCAATGGGGAGCAGCAATGGGGTTTGAAATCTGCTGCTGAATGCACACAGGGTCTGCAGATGGTGTGATAGAGAAAATCCCCCAGTTGGATTTCTGGAAGAGCAGGGAATATTTTCTCCAGTAGATGCTACACAGGAATGACCTGGGGACATGAGAGACAGTGATAAGTGACTCTCTCCATCCCCTTTTATCCTGTTTACAATACAGAGGCTTTCCTTGAACAAAACCCTTTTTTTCCTCTCCATGCTCCTGGCTGTTGTGTCTAAATGAGCCAATTTGCTGAAGGACTCCTCCTGGAAAGACTTGAAGTCTAACAAGAATAGACGCTGGGTTGTAGCATGTTGTTTCTGGCAAGAATCAATTTCTTCACAAAAGAACAGAAATCTGTTCTTGTATTTCAGTGCTTGCCATTTCATCAGGGCTCCTGTGATACCTCTCACAGCCCTGGCCAGGAGGGAATCCCAGGGTCTATTTCCATTCAACCTATTTCCAGAAGTGTTTGAAAATGGGGTCTAATGGCTCAGGAAGGGGGAGCAAAGGACGGGGAGTGAATGTGTTTGTTACTGCTGCAGTTAATGGTTTTGCTGATATGCTGTTTATCCTTGGGCTGATGTGATTTCTGGGGCCTGAGTTGCTGTTTGACATCCAGGGGATAATCTCTTGCCAGAGGCCTGGCTGGCTGCATGGCAGGGCAGGACAGACTAAGTTTGATGCATCATCTGAGACACGAGAGATGGACCCAAAGGGACAGAATCTCTCATTAATTAAAGATGTGTTGTTGTTTCCCTCTTTTATATCTGTGTGGTGCTCCAGGACGTGTTCTCCTGTGACAAGGCTGCATTCTTCAGGTGCTCACCCTGAACTACAAATGAGCAGCAGAAAGAACCAAACACTCTGGAGACTGTTCCAGCCTCCATGTTTCCCAATTTGCCCAGTCTCACATCAGGAGGTGTCTGCCTTCAGTTTCCCCACCTCTGAAAATAATTTCTCACTTTTCCTCCAACGTTTGTCATCCTTCAGTAGCCTGAATTTTTGCTGTACAGTTATTTTGGTTTTGCCTAAGTGCAGGACGAGGCTGAGGTTGCTGAAGGAAGTTTAGGATTTAAATCGGTGTATTCTATTCAAGAGTATTAGAGCTTTTTATCTGGATGGACCCAGTTTAAGACATTACTCTTGTTGATAAAGCAGGTTTCCCTTCACACCACAGGTGGGACAGGCAGCACAAACCTAGAAAAGGGCAGACTCAGATCAACATCAGGGAATTCAAAGCCTGAGGAACAAGTATAAGGTGACAACATTTAACAAAGGGAAGAGATAGTGGAGAAGGAGAGAGCTGAGTGCTTGTCTGGACCATGAGGACAGAAGCTACAGACTTTTAAATTATTGATCTGGTGGTGATCAATAGAGTTGAATGCTTTACAGAATACAAGCCTTTCCCATTTTTTCCCAATCAAGCTCTTATTAGCATGAAGTTACATTTGTTGGCAAGAACTATTTTCTATGAAACCACAGTGACAAGACAGAGTTATGGTCTTAATTTGAGCTCTTTAATCAATCAGTGTTTGTACCTGTGCCTCTGATGTCCTGCTGCTCTGACTAACTGAGCTATACTTCCCACCACATTGTGGTGGTTTTTTTTATAATTCACCTTCTCCTTGCTTTTCCCACTAAGTAAAAGGTGACAGGAATTCAGGTAGCTCAACAGACTCTAACCATAAAGATAAATAACCCAATAAAGATATTGGGTGTTGTAGACCAGTACATACAAGGAAGAGTTATGGCTTCAACTGTGGTGGATTATCTGGTCCAAACAATGAAGAGTGATTGAAAAGCAGTCTCTCATCCAGCCCCAGAGCAAAGCTCTGTGAGATAGGACAGGAACCTGCAGCTCCACCATGAATGGGTGACATCTGCTGTATCTCTAAGTATGGAGAAAAACCAGGATTATTAAGAAAGCAAAACTATTTGCAGGATGGACATCCTAAACTAACTGTGATCATGTGTGGACAAACCTGTGAAGTGCAGGCAGTTCCCTGGCAATGAAACACTGACTGGGACAGCAAAGCACAGTACAGGAGAGGTGTAATGATGATGAAAGAGCAGGAAGAGCTGTTTTAGAAGGGATACTTGGATGTAGGATTCATCCCATGAGGAAAGAGGTATCAGCTCAGTATCTGCATTTCCAGGTTGGTCACCTGGACTCCTAGAGGTGACCCAACCTCTGGAGGTTCCACCTGCAGAGCTGTGTCCAGCCCCTGCTCAGCACCAGGAGGATCTGGAGCTGCTCCGAGGGCTGGAGCCACGGGGAGACCTTGGGGTGTTCTCGTGGAGAAGGCTCCAGGGAGAGCTCAGAGCCCCTGGCAGGGCCTAAAGGGGCTCCAGGAGAGCTGGAGAGGGACTGGGGATAAGGGATGGAGGGACAGGAGCCAGGGAATGGCTGCCAGTGGCAGAGGACAGGGTTAGATGAGACACTGGGGACAAACTGTTCCCTGTGAGGGTGGGTAGGCCCTGGCACAGGGTGCCCAGAGAAGCTGTGGCCGCCCCTGGATCCCTGGAAGTGTCCATGGCCAGGTTGGACAGGGTTTGGAGCAGTCTGGGACAGTGGAAGGTGTCCCTGCCATGGCAGGGTACAGTGGCACTGTACCATGAATCCATTCCATCCTCCCGTGTGGGAGATGCAGTTACACGACCCCAGGCGGGTCTCACAGCTGACACCCTTCTCGCTGACCGCGCCGGGAGAGGCCACAGCCGCTATTTCGGACACCGCGGCCGGAGTCAGCCACGAATGATTCGTGTGGGAAGCGCCTCCCGGCCCCGGCCGGCCCCNCGGAAGTGCCGGAAGGCGACGTGTGCGGAGCGGAGCCGGTGCGGGATGGAGGGGCTGTACCAGCAAACCAACAAGTGCGTGAGGGGTGTGGGGTGTGAGGGGCTGTACCAGCAAGCCAACAAGTGCGTGAGGGGTGTGGGGTGTGAGGGGCTGTACCAGCAAACCAACAAGTGCGTGAGGGGTGTGGGGTGTGAGGGGCTGTACCAGCAAACCACCAAGGGCGTGAGGGGTGTGAGGGGCTGTGCCAGCAAACCAAGGGTGTGAGGGGCTGTGCCAGCACAGCAGCAGTTGTCTGAAGGACCGGAGGCAGACCCGCAAGCCGAGTGTACGAGGCCGGGCGTGCGGGAGCCCAGGGCTGACACCCCACAGATGTCAGAGCCCTTTAGAAGCGTTTCCCCATCAAACCCATCCCGGAGCGGGGCCCCGGGGGGAGCAGAGCCCCGAGCCCCGTGTGCCACGTCAGCCCCGAGGGCTCGGCCGGGCTCCGCCAACGGTGATTCCCGCTTATTGATGTAGGTTTATATAAACGCCCGTTTATAAGGATTTTTGCAGCAGGGTCCGGCTGCCGCAGTTTAAACCACCTCTGGAGGCGTTTGGCTCCTTGAGGATAAATCCCACCTTTCACAGATAATGCCAGTCTGGAGAGGGAGGTGTGGTGTGGGAATTGCAAAATAAGGCAAAAGTTCTCGTGGTTCTGTTACTAATCCATATGGAATAACTCACGGGAAAGGGGCCAAAGGACGCAGTTAAGCTAATATTGCACATCTCAATGGTAATTTGCATCTTTGTGGGGCTCTGTTAAGAGAGGTGGGGTGGCAAGAGACTTGAATTGAATCTGGTGTTGAATCATCATTTTTCTGTCATTAAATGATGATACAGAATGACCCTGTAGGGAAGAGCAGGACATCCTGCTGGAGATCTGGGAATGCAGGAATGTAACAGCAGCTGTTATGGATATGGTTGTCATGTTGTACCCATTTCTGTAGTGCCTCATTTTGTGATTATTAAATGGTTCAGGTTGGAAAGGACCTTAAAACCCATCTAGTTCCAGAGGAATTTAACAATCATCAATATTTTTTTTTCTTTTGTTTTTCTGTGCCACTGCTTGTCCGACCACAGTAGTTTATTCTTATAATGACAAGCTTTTAATTTCACTTGATGCCTGTGAATTCACACGTTGTGGGACAGTGAAAATCATTCCTTATTCACCTTCTCCTCTTGGGTGTCTCACCACTGTCATCTCCAAACAAAGCTGAACAGCTGATTCTTGTAGAAAAGCTGTTCTTTGCTTTTTGTAATCTTCACCTTGATTTCTGTTTTTAAATAAAGTTACTTTTGAGGTGCCTATGAGGTGAGAGCACATTTTGCTTCCTGCTGAGGACCTGGGTTGGTGGGCAGGGATGGGCTGTCTGCTCTGACACTGTTGCTGATTCCTGTGCTGTTCTAAAAAGTGCATTTCAGTAAAAGAAGCTGAAAAGTGAGGTGCAGAGCAATGGTTTTATGACTTTTAACTGACTTCTGTGTTCATTTTCTCTTTATCTCCTGACAGGCAGGTCCATGAGGTCCAGTCTTACATGGGGCGCCTGGAGACTTCAGACAAAGAGTCAGTGCACTGTAAGTAAGGAGAGGGAGGGAGGTTGATTTAGTTTGCATCTTTAACCTTGTATGCCTTCTTACTAAATTTACAGTTAGTATTGGAACAAATTTAGCTCTTGAGTCATTGTGATCAGCTGCTGAGACACATCACCGATTCAGAATGCATTGAAATTGTGTTGCTGTTTCACTTCAGTAAGGTGATGTTTTGTATGATGACAGAGCAGAAAAGACAGGACAAGAATTTGCTTTATCTTCCTGTTACAATCCTTTAACTGACAGAGTGCTTGGTGTGGATGCTTCTTTAACGTTGTGGTAGAATTGCAGATTTTTGGTGCTGTTAGTATTTGGAGCTCATGGTCAGGGTGTCTGTGCAGGCCTTCAGCACAAACAGATCAAAACCCCCACATTGATGCACACATGGAAGATTAATGAACACCTTGGCATGAGCAGAACTGCAGATTGAGAGCATCTCTGGACTGGTTTGTTAGAAGCTCAGAATGCTGGGAGGTGTGGCTGTGCCTGCCCTGCTGTGTTGTTATTCCCTCATCCACCAATTGGCATCTTTCCCCTAAAGATGCTCAGTGCAGTTTCTGGGGAAGATGCTGTGATTTTGTGTCAGGATGCTCCTGACATTCCTGCTGCATCATAATCAGAACCTGTCATTCCACCTGCTTATGGGAAGTCAGTAGAACCATTAGGTCTGAAATTGTCCTGGTAAATTTGGACTATAACCCTGTGCTCATAAATGTCTGTAATAATAAAATGCTCTGATATGTGTGGTAGGACTTTTTATCCCAGTGCAAACTTGGCACATGTATTTTGGACCTGTGTTTGAACCCTTAAATCCTGCATGAGTCACTAATAATGGGTTTCATCAGGAACTTCTGAGGTGAAAGGACACTGCATTGACATGATGCATTTCTGCTGCACATGTTCACTGACTTCTCTTACCTTAAACACATTTGTGAAACATGACTGGGGTCTAGGAAGGGCTGTGATAAATTTTCTATCAAAAAATAACAACTTATTAATTCTGGTTGTGGTTTTTGTGGTGTTTGTACTACTCCTTCTACAATGCCAGACTTCCCAGACTGCTCTTCTCTGGGGGTGATTTTGAAAGTCCTGAAAATTAGTATAATTTGCCCTTTTGCTTCTATTGCTTGAGACCATTTCAAGAGATAGAATTATGTAGTTTACAGATTTTACAGTCAGTTCACCAGTTTACATAGTTAATAAATTAATAAATATATATATGTATTTCTCTCTCTATAAAGATACTAGTCTGTATTTCAGAATTTATGGAAAACAGGATTATTCATGGTTGAAGAGCAGGAATAGGGGCCAGGAAATCAAACTTGCAGCCTCTTCCAACTTAGAGCAAATAGTTCCCTCTTGCTCAGAAAAGTGTGTAGTGGTGTAGTTTGGTTTGACAAAAGTTGCTGTAACTCTCTGTCAGCTCTCCTGTGTTGAGTTCACCTGCAGTAAATGCTGGAGAGATGGATTAGGACAATTTGATTGATTTGACTCTGGATGTGAGTCAGTTACTCTTTGTCTGTGTGACATCCAGGGGCAAAGATGAGGTCTGTGCTCTCTGCTTCTCTGGGTGCTGCTGAGTGTGGTTTTCTGTGAAGTCCTGATATGTGGAGTAGTTGGCAGGTGGTTGATGATGCTCCTCTGTGTTCTTGTGACAACAAATCCTGCTGTGGGAGCAGGAAGGGGCTGCAGGGGAAATGTGGGGGCTTGAAATCCTAATTCATGGAGCTGATGGGGAAAGAGACTCAGATGTCTGGAGCGAGCAGGGACTTTCCTAGCTGCCTTCTCAGGAAGAGAGAAAGGTGAGAGTGTCAAATTACTGAGCTAAAGAAGTGACATTTCATTATAGTTATAGTTCTCAGTTACCTGATTATTTTCATCCAGTAAAGATTTACATCTGTCAGATTTTACATACTGCTTTGAATGCTTTTGAGCATTTGCCTTCATCAGATTGCAGTTGTCTAATTCAAGTCAAATCCTGTTTTTATTTCCTTGCAGTGGTAGAAAATGAGATTCAAGCAAGAATAGACAACATCTTCAGCAACTTGGAACGTCTGGAAATCCTGTCCAGCAAAGAACCTCCCAACAAGAGGCAGAATGCCAAACTGTGAGTTCACTGCTTTGCTGTGATTGTGCAGGGTAGTCTTTGTAATTATTTTAATTAAATTTATTGAAGCCCTTTGCCTTTTGATTTGATAACTGGAATCTTTATTTCAGTTATTTGCATAACTGATCTCTATGCTCTACAGTAGTAAAATTGAGGCACAGAGGCAAAACCACTTTCCTGCATTTAACCCCAGGACCATGAGAATCATTAACATTGGAAAAAGCCTCAAATATCATCAAGTCCAGACTGGTGATGCAGCTGGATTCATGGCTCTCTTCTCAGATGAGCAGAATGCTTGGATGCTCTCTCTGTCACTTACTTTTAGTGACATTTGTGGAGGTAGAGAGTAAAATTCCCTCATTTGGTGCCATTTTCTCTGAGCCATTTTCTAAGCTGTTGGTGAGTGAAATGAAGAGGTTTCTAAAGTGAGCAATAGTTTGAGCAAGAGGTTGGACCACAGACATCAAGACTTGCTGTTCTTAATTAATTCAGTGACTCAGTTATTGATGTTTAGTCCAAAATGCCCTTGTAGGTAGTATGGGTGGATTTCATGTCGCCTGTATTAAAGAAAGAGGCCAGTATCTGAAGTAGTCATCATTTTCTTCGTAGAATCCTGGAATGGTTTGGGTTGGAAGGGGCCTTAAAGATCAGTTCCAACCCCTGCCATGGGCAGGGGCACCTTCCACTAGACCAGGATAATCTGGTGATGAAACATTAAATTTAATCAATCTTTTTATCAGGGCCAGTGGAGTTCTGGACATGATTTGTTTCAGCCCAGTGCAAAT